CTACAATGTTTACGTTAAATGTAAATGAACAGATTAAAAGGAAGTTCTGTGAAGTTTTACAAAAAAGTAAGACAAACTCTGTTATTTACAAAAGCACTCATAGACACAAAGACACAGAAAATACAAAACAAAAACATTAAACATAAAAGGATGGAAAAGGATACATCATGTGAACTAATCATAGGAAGGCTAGAATTATTAAAATCAAATCAGACAAAGTAGAATTCAAGATAAAGAATACTGACAGATACAAGAAAGATGTTTGGGGTGCCTGGGTGGCTCAGGTGGTTAAGTGACTGCCTTCGGCTCAGGTCATGATCCCGGAGTCCTGGGATTGAGTCCCACATAAGGCTCCCGGCTCAGCGGGGACCCTGCTTCTCCCTCTGACCCTCTCCCCTCTTATGCTATTTCTCTCTCTCTCAAACAAAATCTTTAAAAAAAAAAAAAAAGATGTTTCACAGTGATAAACAGATATTTCACCAGGAAGATGTAACAGTTCAAAATCTGTATATACCTATTAAGGGGAGCATCAAAATCCATGAAGCAAAAACTTATGGAACTAAAGGAAAAGTAGACAAATGTGCAATTATGGTTGAAGATTTTAACATTCCTTTGTCATTAAATGATTAAACAGGAGGACAAAACAAAGCAAAACAGTATGTATATAGAAAGTTTGAACACTATCAAACAATTTAACCTAATCAACATTTATAGAACAGTAAACTCCAAACTTCAGAATACACATCTGTTACAAGTACATAAGGAACATTCACCAAACTAGGTCTTCTTCTTGGCCATAAAACAAGTTTCAGTGTGTTTTAAAGGGTTGAAAAAATACAGGATATGTTCTGATAATAACAGTTAAATTAGAAGTCAACAAAAAGATAACAAAGAAAATCTCAAAAAATTTAGGAATTAAAAAGCATACTTCTAAATAATTCATTGGGTGAAAGAATAAGTCAAGGGAAATTAGAAAATATATTTAAATGAACAACAGTGAAACACAACATATCAAAATCCATGGACTACATCAAAGCATTGCTTAAAAATTTTTATAGCTATATATATATAATAGATTTGAGAGAGTGTGTGGATGGGGGAGAGGCAGAGAGAATCTCAAGCAGACTCTATGCTGAGTGCAGAGCCCAACAGGGGCCTTAATCCCATGAAGCCAAGGGATCACTACCTGAGCCAAAACCAAGAGTCAGATGCTTAATCGACTGGGCCACCCTGGCGCCCCACTATATATTTCAGAAAAGAGACTTAAAATTAATTTTAGCTTTTATCTTATGAAGCTTGAAAGAAAAGAGTACCTAAAATAAATAGAAGGAAGGAAATGATAAAGAATGGAAATTAGCGAAATAGAAAAAAAAAAAATCAGTAGATAAATCAACAGATCCAAAAATTGGTTCTTTGAAAAGATCAATAAAAATGACGGGCATCTAGCTAGACTATCAAAAAAAGAAAAAGAAAGAAAAAAAAAACTAAAAAGTTACCATAATCAAGAATGAAAGAAGGGACATCAAAATGGATACTGAAGATGTTAAAAGGATAATAAGAATGTCATGAACTACGTAGTGCTGAGAAATTTGACAACTTAGATGAGATGGACAAATTCCTTGAAAGATACATATTACCAAAATTGACACAAGAAGAAAAACAAAATCTAGTAATTTCATTACAGCTGTTAAAGTAAATTCATAATTAAAAATTTTCCTACAAAACTCTAGACCCAGATGATTTTCTTGCTAAATTCTATTAAATATTTATGAAAGACAAATCTTAGTAAAACACTTCCTGAAAATAGACACTTCCAACTGATACAATGACCTGAAAAAAAACCACACAAGGATATTATGAGGAAAGAAATTACAGATCAAGATCTCTCATTAATGTAGATACAAGGAAAACCCCTTAATGGAATAACAGCAAAATGAATCCAGTATGATAACACATCATGACTAAATGGGGTTTATCCCAGAGACAAAAGAAGGCTGATTTAATATTCAAAACTCAATGTAATTCATTATACTAGTAAAGGAGAAAAGTCATAGGATCAGCAAATTCCAAAAAATTACTTAAATATTCATTCATGACTTAAATTTTGTTTTCTTTCCAACAAACTACAATGAAATTTCCTCAGCCTGATAAAGGGCATTTAGGAAAAGCCTACAGCTAACATACTTAATGGTTAAAGAATGAATATTTTCCAGCAAAGAACAGGAACAAAAGCAAGGATGCTCACTCTCGGTGTAGTATTCTACATCACGGCAGGTGTAATAAAGCATGAAAAAAAGATAAGAAAGGCATACATGCTGGGAAGGAGGAAGTAAAACTCCATTCACAAATATGATTGATTATGTAGAAAATGCTAAGAATGTATCAAAAAACTACTAGAATTAAAAAGTGAATTTAGAAAGATCCCAGGTCACAAGGTCAATATACAAAATGATATTTACAATAGAATTAAAAATATTTAGAGATAATTTTAATGGAAAATGTATAAGATATCTACACCAAAAACTACAAAACACTGTTGAGAGAAATTAAAGATCTACATAAACGGAGAGGAGTAGCAGTTTCATGCGTTGGAGGACTCAACTGTGTTGTTGGGATCTCAGTTGCCCCTAATTTGATCTTTAGATTTAATGGAGTCACAGTCAAAATCCCATTGTGCTTTTTAGTGGAAACTGACAAACTGGTTCTTAGATTTTATGGAAAGGAACAGAACCTAAAATGGCCAGTGCTTTCTTGAAGAAAAGGGTTGAAGGACTTCTATTGTAAAGCTGCAGTAATGATGCAGTGTGGTTTTGGTGTAAGGACAGACTGACAGAAGAGAAGAGAGAGTCCAGAAACAGACCAGTACTGTCAGCTGACTTTTGAAAAAGATTCCAGTGAAATTTAATTAGGAAAAGAAAAATCTTTTTACACACGGTGCTGAGACAACTGGCTCTCTATAATGTAAAAGAAGGAATCTTAACCCCTTACACCATATACAAGAATGATTTGAGATGGCTCACAGATTCAAAATGAAAGCTAAAACTATAAGCCTTTTAAAAAAATATATAGCAAACCATGACCCCGAGATAGGCAAAGTTTTCTCAGGTTTCTTTACAGGAAAAAAAAAGATAAATTGAACTTCAAATAAAAATAACACAGTTTTGCTCACTGAAGACACTGTTAAATAAATGAATAGGCAGGCTGCACTAGAACATATCCACAATACAGATATACAGAGAATTCCTACAACTCAGTAATAAAGAGACCATCATCCACATAAAAATGGATCAAGACATTTCACAAAAGAAGATATATGAATGGGCAGTCAGCACATGAAAAAGTGCCCACAATTATTAATTATCAGGTACATGATAACTGGAATCAACAGAGATACGAACACATAAATGTTGGAATGGCTAAAATTAAAAAGACCAACAGCAAATGCTGGGGCGTATCTGGGATTACCGTCAGGAGTACAAAATGGAAGAATCTGTCAGCTTTTTATAAAGTTGAACATACATCTGCCTTGTGAACTAGCAGCTCCACTTCTCAGGACAAACAAAACGTCTTGTGTCACAATGTTCATAGCAACTATTATTCATGGTGGCTAGAGCCAGGGGCAGCCCAGGTGTCATTAATGGGAGAATGGATATATGAATTATAATGCAGTTCCACAATGGAGTACTACTCAACAAGAGAAAGAACAAATGACTGAGATATGCAGCAATACGGATGAGCTTCAAAAAAAACATGCAGAGTGAAAGAAGCCAGACCCAAGAGTACATACTGTGTGACTACATGGTATATGACTTTTGAGAAGAGGCCGAACTAGCCTGGTGGTGAAAATCAGAGTATCAGAACAGTGGTTGTCTGGGAGAAAGGGACCAACTGAGAAAGGGAACAAAGAGCTTTCTGGAATGATAAAATCTGCACGTGTGTATCACAATGCCACCCCAATTAAATCAATGTCTTTGCTTGGAACCTGGGCATCAGTTTTTTTATAGTCTCTCCTTACCTCCATACATAAGTGATTCTGGTGGACAGTTAGGGTTGAAAAAGACCACTCAAGAATCTCAAAATTTTGTCACCAAGCAACATTTGTGATTTTATAATTGGTAACTATAACTGCAAAAGATTCTTATTAGTTCTAAAAAAGCATTCTCTGGATAAACGTGCATGCTTGCTGGTTGGATAAGAATTGCCCAACTTGTATGCATCTAATTTTTGTCTTGGCTGCCAAGAAGTTCAGAGCCAAATTCAGTGTTCAGTTTAGTGATTAATATCCCAGCTGCCTAATACACCAATTTGAGGGGCGGGGCGGGGGGGGGTTGGGAGATAGAGGATGGGGGCATTAAAATATCCTGTTTCACATCTTAAACTACCTCAAATCATTTGGGGGAAAATGACAGTGTATAAATCATAAAAAATATTGGTCATTTTGGAAAAAAATTTTTTTCACTGAACATATAAATACATTGTATGCTTCTCCTTCTTGTCAAAAGAAGGTTAGGTAAACAAAGACTTTTGCTATTGCTTGGATGAGTCCTCTGCTAAAGGTAAATCACTATCCGACCAAATGATCGAATAACGTTAAAAAATACATCATTTTAAAATACAACCATATAGACAGGGAAACTCTTCACTTACATTTGATTATAAGGGTGAGACTGGAGGAACCCATGTAAGAGTATGGAATATGTTAAGAGTCCCTAATGGATCATAGATGGCATAAAAAATTTAAGTGCACTTCATTACATACATTCTTAGGCTAAAGAAAGAAATCAGATCTGTACGCAAATGTGCTCACTGTCGTTCTGTTTCTATGATGACTGGTGTCAGCTGCTTTGATTTTATCCACTGGATAGGGTATTTTTCTGCCCCTTCTCATTTAACAAAACCATACAACCTTGGCCCTCAGGAGAAACTAAAATGTTTTTATTCCCAAAGGGCATATTCTAATGCAACACGAAGGAAAAAAGAAACAACAAAAAGCCTCTCACCTGAGCTGTCTCACTGTTAAGCAATCCAGTCGGCGGCTCCTCTTTTTGCACTTTTCTCCCCGTTAAGCAGGACTCAGCACTTCTCTCACTATGGATGTTTTTTTCTATTGACCTATTTTGCATCTGACTGACTTGCTTTGTTGCAGCCTTTCGAGAAACAACCTGTTGATAGAGAGTAAAAATGTATAATGAAAACTTTTGACACTTGTAAGAAAAAAAATGCATTTCCGTCCAGATTCTTGAAAATTCTAAACTTGCCAAGTTTTGTGAAAAGGAAGAAATAAAGAGGAAACCAACAAATGGATGTTATGGAAAGAATATAGTCGTTGGCAAGATCCAGACCCTTTCTCATCAATAGTACAAGACCAATTAAAATTAGTGTCACTGTCGTACGCTTTTTAGAAATCATCTCTACAGATAACTTGCTTATTGAAAACGGCATTTTTACAGAAAACTGTCACATTCTCAAACTGCACATGAATTCATTATTAACCTTTGCTGGGAGTGGATCCAGTACATCTTTTTAGTTTAAATTCTTATTAATTAGAATCTTAGTTTTCTATCATTGAAGTGAGCCTAATTAATGTGAACGGATAAAAGGAGCTTATGATGTTGCTTACTTTTTTATACAGGTAATTTAACCTTTGAGCAGATGAGTCACAGTTCATGTCACCTAGTCCTGTGTACCAGTATCAGGGGTTAAGTTCTCCAACAAGCCTGCTGTCTCTAAGGTTTCTTTTTCACACCACAGTGTTTTCTGGGGGATGACTGACTCTTAATAACCTTGAAGTAGACAGGAAATAGAAGGGCAGGTCCCACAATAGAGTTGGAAGATTGAAAGCCACAGTGAAGACCCTTATGTGAAGTATTTGCTCAGCAGCTTTGTGTTTACAGCAGCTGAAAGTGCCATCACCTTTTTTCCGGGGTTAAATAGGGGGCAGAAGATAGGAACAGCGCAAGGGGAAATAACGGAGTAGCCAGTGCCAAAACGGAGAATGAATTACATTGGCTGGGCAAGCAGAGCCTTAATTTGTAGTCTCTCAATTTTTAGCTTCTATTGCCAAATGTGTTCACTCCTTCCCTTTAAAATATGCTGGTGTTTTGTGGCTAGGTCTAAGCTGTCACAACACCATTCTTTATTCACCCCTCCTCCTGGATCCCAGCTTCTCAAAGGATAGCAAAGCCATTGCTTTTCAGTAACCTGACAATTGGAATTGTTCCCTCATCACTCAGGGTTTCTTTATTTTCACCACTCAACTCTCCCAAACTACTGGGAAAATTCACGTGTAACCACCTTCTGAGTCACTCTCCCACTGAAGTCAACTTGGTGATAAAGGCGCATCAGACCACCAGTGTGAGACAAAGGGTTTCCCAAGGCTGTTGTACACCGTTTCATCCTAATAAAAGACTGGCTTGCCAATCATTGTGAAAATGTGTCTTATGATATAAAGGATTCGTTGAGATATTAATTGAGGTTTTTAACGCCTCCTGGATGCTAGGCACTTTAGGTATAACGGTTTTTGGCCTGGGAGCCTCTGATGTACAAACAAAATTTGATCTAATATATTCAGTCCTCCGTGAGGCTTTCTGGAAGAGACGAGGCCTCCTGGATCTGCTGTCAGTTGGCCGGATGGCTAGGTTGTGCTGCCATAAGCAGTTCTAGCTAATAAACAAAATGATATCCAGTTTATGAAAAATTTCTTTTTCTAGGGAAACTTCTAAAACGGTAAGAATGAAGTGGGATGATTAAGTTTTACTCTCAATTATGAACAGAGGTAGAACTTTTCTCAAAGACATAAAAGTAAGTACAGGAAACACTCTGGGCATCTCATATAATCAAATAAAATGATACTGTCCAAATATGTGTCATTTTCAAGAAAGTGGCTATTCAAATAAGGTATCTTTTATTTAATTTCCCATCAGCACTTCACGGTGTTCTAAGAAACCTGGAGTACTCTGGCCTCCTAAAATTCAGTAAGCCAAAAATATGCTCGTAATTGAGATTTTATACTCTCCTTTTCTCACACAGAATATGAAGACGAGCTTAACAGAATTATTTTGAGAAGGCTCAAGGAAGAATTTTATAAATTTTTAAGTTCAATACAAAGATTACTACAACCAATAATAATATGTTCACCCCTGGATTTGCTGTGGGAACCTCAGATTTAGGGTAAATGGAAGGACAAACTTTTACTTGTCTGAAATGTAGGACACTTGAACATTTTCACTCTGTCCTCCAGCTACCCCTCTGTCTAGGTAGAGCATTTAGGACGGATGGGTGGCTCATTATGCCCAGGTCTCTGTGCTATTCCCATGTGGACTCGGGCACCCTAACAAGGGGGGAGATATGATAAGCTGATGAGAGGGTCCACTACTGGCTCTTGAGGAAACAGCTTATTCAAGGGTTGAGTGGGGGCCTTCAATAATGCTGGTTTTCCACCTTGGCTTTCGCATTCTCATCCGGGAGTTCTAGAGCTTTAGCTCACCTCAATAAGCATTCTTACTGAAATATGGTTTCCTTCAGTGAATTTTGGACATTAAATCCCAGTGGAAGGCATAAATAGACTGCGGTAGCCCTGATGACAGATTCTTCTAATTTGACAGCATTACCTCAGGAGCCACCGGAGCTACTAAAGAGTGATTTCAGCTATACAGACCATCATTGTGATTGAGGCAAATGCCCCAAAAGATTTGCTTTTCAGGAAAAAAATATCAATGTCTCTCCTGTCTTGACAAAAATTCATTTCCAATTTAACTCCAGTAACAGTCTTTGAGGACTTGTGCAAGGCAGCGGCTCAGTTTACAGGGAACAGTTTATGATGCCTAGTAAAACCCAGTATTGGAAAAATACCTCATTTTTCTTTTGCAAAAAGGTGCTGTAAGTTTGCCAAGGTTCTTATGGTGATGTGCTATTTTCTAATACCTCACCCAAACACATTTTTTTAGGAATACTAAATTTAAAAGGCACCACCACTTATATTGAGGGAAATACCATTTAAAAAAATTAAACATTCATAACTTTCTTTTGAATACTGAATGACAGAAATATTTTATTTATATAACTGTATATGTTTTCTGGTCCACTGACTTCTTTTTAGGTATCTCTGTCCGAAAAGTGTAAGTCCAGAAGTCATTCAATATTCTGTTAAGTAACTAGAGTAATCCACGTATGAAGTAACAAGAAATGTTTTTAGTTACTAATAAGGGGATTCTGTCTGTGATTAAAAAGAGAGAAATTTGGAGCCATGTGACTGATATTCATTCTGGACCTAGAATGCTTTTTGTTATGGAAGCAGAGTCAATGGCAGAAACTGTCCTATACTTGTAACATTCAGGGGAAGTGTCCGTTCATATGGTCATACTTTGCTTTTAAACATTTTCAGGTGTGGTTTTTGCAACATTACAAAATCTGTAAACTTTAAAAATAAAAATTAAGATACTTTGGGTTTAGCTACATGGGGAACCCATTTTTATATTATGACTATTAAATATATTTGTGCACTTAAAATACTACAGAAATAAAGTCACTATTCAATAAATATTGATCTGCTGTGGAACATGCCCCCAAATCATCTTACTGTCTATACACTGGGGCTGGTCATACTGTTAGAAATTAAAGAATGCATACTATTCTTAGTCAAATGAATAATAAATATTATTTATTTGGAATAATATTTTTATATTATAAATAATTTTATATCATTTTAATATTCTTTTTATTCATAATCAAAGTGCTCTAATCAAAAGGGAAGAATAAAATATTTTTGACTGAGGCTCATTGGAGAAAATGTTTTATGTTCTATTCTCTGCATATAAAAATGGTTTCACAACAAACATCCTTTGAATTTGATGAAACTGAAAATTCTGGTGGATAATAATTAGAATTTTACATCAGAGGATATAACTATCCGTTTTTAAAATGGCTTCTTTTATATTTCAATTAAGTTTATGAAACTGAAAAACTACAAAAAAAAAAAAAAGGAAAAAATCTACCTAAATTAGTGTAGATTAAGTGGTGACCATTATTGCAAGAGAAATACTATGTTAAGGAAATGGCTCTTTGTTTTGTTGCAAAAGTGATAAAAACACAAAAGTCAATAAAACTGTTAAAATAAGTCTCAGTAATTACCAAGATCAAAATCCACTGGCTTTTTATTAAACATGAACTTTTGTTCTGCCTTCTGCAATACGTAAATAGTGCTGACAATTGGTTTGTGAGGCATTTGCTACAATAAAATGTAATTGTATCATGAGAGAAAGGTGACAATCAGGAGATCATGAAAAAATTACATATTCTCACTGGTAGTTAATTAGCCATGCAAAACCTCCTCAAACAGATATTCTCTTCTATTAGGAATGATTACTATGCAGGCCTACAGATGTCAATACCACAGTCATTCAAATACTTCTTTCCCTACTAATTGAAGGTTGTAAAGCTCTGGTGCCAAGGTTTTGCTTCCAAAGAGCTAATTTATGACTAGAAGGATATTTTATGTCTTCAGTTGCAGCAGCTACAAAATTCAGCAAATCAGAACCATCTGTGCACTGATACTTGACTCACCATTCATCTCGCAGCCTATCAGTCACATTAGTTTGCATCCTGCATTCTTGGCTCATGAACACTTGCGATGATCCAAAGTTCATAAGAAATATTAAAAATGAATGGCATCCTGACCCTACCTCATTGTACACGCATCAAGAAAAAAAGCCTCCCCCCCTCACCCCCCCCCACACACATCTTTTGCGTATGGACCGTATCAAGGAAGGACTGGACATTTGGTTGCCCGTCCAGTAAGGCGGCTCACAGCAGTCTCAGGTTTCCCCCGCCCTCTGAGAAATGTTGTAAGTCCTAATTCCTGTGTATTGTTTCAAGTTCTATTTTTTTAAGTTGATGTGAGTCAGTCAGTTGGAAGATTACAGAGTAAAGGATGAGAAGGTGTAACTTAAAAAAAAAAAAAAAAAAAAACTTTTTCAAAGGTTATTTTTGTAGATTGAAATATCAGTACAAACCAGTCATCTGGTTAAATCTAAGAATATCATTGTTATCGCCACCAAATTATGGCCAAACTGGTAAGCAAAACCAGAGGGCAGTAACTAAAGAAATGCGAAGAAAAGCAGCTTTATAAAGGTCCTCATGAGTAAAGTCAGATTAGCCTTTAATCTGACCTTGGTCATATCTCTGTGACATCAGTCATTGCTTTATTTCTTTAACAGTACACTAAGTAGGCCATGGACCCTACTACTATTTTTCTCTAAGAGACAATAGGTCAAAAGAACTGTGAACAAAATTTCTTGGAGCTAAGTGAGGAGAAGTAGGAATTACATATAATAAGCAAGAAACTGGGTTGTCAGACTCCTTTTGAGACCCCAAACAACTTCATTTGGTAGAAAAGCTTCGGGGAAGGTAATCGTGGGATCCCAGGGACTAAAATACTTACGTTTTGATTGTCTGGAGTACGCACATTTACACTCTGGCCTCCGGTGGAAAATTCCAGTGGTCCTAAAGGTATTTCACCTGGGTTCAGGATTTTCTTGAGCATCTGATAGTTTGGCTTTTCATCATATGCTAAACTATGAGCACACACCAAATATTGGGCTATTTCACCTGTGAAGAAGTGTTAAATTTTTTTACACATTATTCATAATTGCCAAGAACTGTCAAGGCTCTCGCAGCATCAAGACCTCTCTATTCTCTTAAACATGCACACAACACACAGCCTGAAGAAACGAAGAATGAACACTTTGGTGAGAAGCACTTTTCAAATGGTATCCAAAAATGACTGAAAATACAGTGACATGGAGAGTTGACAAGATGGGAAAAACTGGTAATTTTTTTACATATCTTTGTTGGTATGTTTATTTCTCACTAACTTATCAAAGGAAGCAAATTTTTAAAAAATTACAGTTAGTGATTTTGACTTATGGGGTTCAATTACTAAGAACTACATGAATACTATAATAGACCAGACATGCTTCATACTTTTATGTTGAAGTTTTAAAAATTCAGTTAAAAACAAGTGTTACTTATTATAAACCTCCTTACTTTGACAGAAAAAAAAAAATCACTGCAAATTTTAATTCAGGCTTTGATTTTGAGATTATAACAGTACATTCTGAAATGACCTTGAATTCTAGGTTTCTAGCCATGACTAATTTTAGAGTTCCCCAGACCTCCCTCGAGTCCTCCATACCTAGCTGGCCCAGTGCCTTCACTGCGTCGTCTTCCTAATTTAGAGCAGAAGGATGAGATGTTGCTACTTTTTTTCTTTCTAATGTAATCTCTTCCCTAGAACTATATAGCTATCCCCCCAAAAATATGAACTACAAACTTTTAAATACAAATAAAACTAGTCACCCAAAATTACAAACATTGCTGCCTTAAAATAAATGTAGTCAGGTGGAGATTCAATCTAAAATCAAGGCACAAGTAAATGATAATACCATATACTGCTTAAAATCTAGCATGTTTTCCTTTTTCGTAGAGATGTTTAGATACTCCACAATCTAGTTTTTATAAGCTTTTCCCCTTCAAAAACTTATTACTCACACAGACATAAGTACCTCTTACTTTCTCACTAAGTTGCTATATCCCCATGGTGGGAAAAATCTGGGAAGCTTTGTGGCTTGGCAGGAATGACTTCCTAATCCTTCCCTTCCCCTCCAGGCCCACCTCCACTCAAGAGGGAACTGCAGACATGGCTTTCACTCCCTACGGGGAAAAATTCCAAAAGGAACAGTCACCATCCCTTCCCCCTGTGAGAGTCAGAGCGACCATTTCATACCCTATTACCCGCAGCTGTGTTCTAGGACCATAAGGCCACTGTGGCTAGAATGAGAACTCTTGGCTCCAGGGTTTTTGTTTTTAGTTTCTTGTTGTTTTTTCTTTTGGATACCGTGGCAATTATGCAACCTAACTTTTTTCCTTCTCTAATGTTTTAAGACATGTCACATTCTTTTATCTAACATTCCATCAGTCAGATCTCTATTAACTAGCAAATGGTATGGCTTCATCACATTTGTAACTCCTGTTTCCAGAAGCCCAGTGCGAGACTCCCATTCCTGAAGGGATGATCAAAAAGAAAACAGATTACATTACATTCACTACCATTTTCATGTAAATATTCTGTTGTTCTTCGGCTCTTTCGAGACTGGTACACCAAGTCTGGTATATATTATTACAGTGCTATTAACCAAAATATCCCAAATGGAGAAGAGAGCCGAATATGGTGGGAGAATTTTCACAGGTCATGGCTGGAAGACAATGGACGATTCCTGGCACTCCCCCAGCTGAGGACAGCTGTGCTGCAAAGTCTTCGTGGGTCTGGGGCTTGGAAGAATGAGGTATGGGTGAGGTAGGAAAGGGAGAAAAAGAAAAGCCACCTCTTATAAATTCATTATTATCAACCTGAGGCTTAGACTACTGTGATGTATTACTGCCTAAAATGGTAGCCTTCCAAGAGCTGGATTTGTTATATTAAGTATACTTTTAAATTTACTAGCATATTTCTGGAGCTACAAAACAAAATGCTTTGAGTAGTATGAAATTACCATATTCTTGAATCATTTGCTTTTAAGCTAATGAAATATTAAGTATCATTACTATCATCTCAGGAGATAGAAACTTGTGCAACTATTATCATTACACTGAGCTGGACACGCACATTGGAAACTTTTTGGTGGTTTTATTTCATCAACTGCCTTAGTAATAAACCTTTTACACATCGGATTAATTGTCATGCTTGCAGTACCCACTCCGAAGTACAACCAACTAAGAGGTCTTCAGTTAATATTAAAGTTTCAATGTTTTGTGCTTTAGAAATAGAAATCTGCATTTTATAAAATAATGGGATGGACCCAAATAAAGGGTTTGTACTGAAAAATGGAGAACCTGGCACTCGTGTCACTTCTTGTTATCGCTCAGATCTTCATATCTCCAGTAATTGAAGTGTCACAGAATATACACAGGCCCACAAGCATTCATCTTATGCAACCCAGGGCATCGGGGCTTTCTTTTCTAATCCTGGGAGCTGAGCAGTTACCTTTTGTGCAGAAGGGGCAGAAAAGGTAAGGGAGATACACAGAGAAAACTTTCTTTGACATCTCCCATCTCTCCTTTTTGCTGTCCTATTGAGTAAAACATAAGCTGTATAACTTGGTCCAAATGCCAATAAGCGTATTAGCCAAAAAGGAGTACTGGCATTTGGACCAAGTTACTCAGTGCAGTTACAGAAAGGAAAAGCTTTCACCTTCAACCCTCACGCCGTGCCCCTCCCCCCGCAAGGAGAATCCTCTGGATTCGCACCCTCCTCCATCAGAAGAGGGACAACAGAAAGTGGCAAGCCGGAGGCTCACACTGGGGCAAGCTTAGGACTTGGAGAATGGAGGTGGAAAAGCAGAACTACTTTGTTCCTCTTTCGTTTCCCATGGAAATGAATATTTTGGTTTCTTGTCAAAGAAGGGCTATAAATATAAGTTCAAGATGATTTAACTCTACATTTAAACTCTCAGATGGAAACTGATGCTATTTGACCTTATCTAGAGGGTCAGTGTACACATTCACTTTCATATAAGTCAGCTAAAAGCTAACTTTGAGATTGCCCAATATAGAGAGAACAAGATTCATTCCCCATATCTGTCTCTGAGAAAAAGCGAGCCTGACAGCAGAAGCCGGCACTTTTCCATAAGACAATCGGACTCATTTATTAAATTGGTGAACAATGTGCCATGCATGCATATGCAAACGACAGGCACTTGGGTAATTGTGAATTGACTTACTATTTTTACTGATAATACTGTCAATTAAAGAAGTCCAAAACGATCCATACTAACTTGAAAGAGAAAACCATTTAATGAAACATACCTTCAAATCCCAAGGTTACATGCCTTTGCCAATCCAAATTTTTTTTTGCTGGCTGTTCAGTCACAGTGCAGCCCAGGTCTGAACAGCACTCAAGTGTTCAATGATTTGGTTTTTTAAATTACTGACTGAAAGTAGTCTTTCCCTAGATCAACTTTATCTTCTTTCAATGATATAGAGAGGGACAAAATCAGAACGTCAACTCTAACAGTACTAGATACAGGTGACTATTAAACCTGTGTAAGATTCCTCCCTCTCCTGCCCCCCCACCAAAAAAAATGCAGTCAGCAAAGCCTAGAACGCTGCCGAAATATTTTCTTGTAGCCTTCTTGTGTTGTGTTCTGATGTCAGAGAGGATCTAAACATTCTCTTCTCTAGCAACTTACCTGTAACCTTGTGTAGAGAGTTTCCTCCCACCCTTGTGGGAATGGGAGTGGGTGGATTCAGCAAAAGCCGTAACACAAGAGTGACAAATGTGGAAATGTGGTGACCAGTAAATCATACAGGAGAAGGTGGTAGAAGTTATCATTTGACTTACGGCAGCTGCTTCTGGAAGGAGCCCATTTAAGCACTGACTCAGGAAGCTCATCCAACAGACTAAAACAAAATAGAGTAATATGCAGTGAATTTGTTCACGATCCTGTGCTTCACTGTCTTGATTACAAAAAACAAAACTCAAATTCTGTGTTGGTGGGTCACCCATATCGTCGTGCCTTTCAATATTTTTTTTCACCCCCGAGGGTAAGTGGAAGTGGGGGAGATCCTTCAATTCTCATTGACCAATTTTATATCAATCCCCTAGAAACTAAATGTAGATTTACAGTATAAATGCTTTAGTTCAAAGTCTGTACATGCAGAAATGTAGAAGTAGGGCTATCTGTCATGATTTTTTCTCAAAAACAAGAAAAAATACATAGGAAAATAGTATCAGGATTTTCAGGAGATTTTTCCTCAGGTACTTATCCTTGGGGAGGGGCAAATTATTTATGTACACTGTTCTCCACTGGGTAGTGTTTGATGCTCTTCTATGATTAAACAGGTTAAGAAGAAATATCCAAACAACAAAACAAATAAGATGGGTCATTATTCTAACCCTTCCCAGGGTTTCAGACTGAACAAATATAGTTCTTTTAAGTTGCTTGAGCCACCAGTATATAAACATGCAACTAAAATTACTGATATGAGTGTTTGACTGACAAACTCAGGCACAGGCAGAATTGCAACAATAAATGCACCGACTGATCTGATATCACCCCATGTCAGGAAAATAAAGGGCATGAGGGAGATACGGTATCACGGCTGTATATGCAAGCACGCCCTTACGAGGAAATTCAGAGTATGCCTTCTTAGCAAGTTGAATGAATTCTGATCATATATTATTTACTATCAGAAGTTCAAAAATGTCTATAGTTTACCTTAATTATAAGCTTCATTATGTATTAGCTTTACTGGTTTATAGACTTACATTAGTAATCAAATCAAAATGAAGATATTAATATACATAAGGGTCCCCAAAGTGTAAATGGGAGTTATGTTTATTAGCATTATATTATTCTGCATGATACCCTATTATCACATTTGAATATACACACATAGGCATACTCTTTAGATATCTACAATGAATGCATCTATATATGTATATTGATAAAAGACTAAATCATATTAATAAGTCTTATTAAAAGAAAAAATACATGTAATCATTGGAATTAGAATGCAAGTCTTTTAAATATAGTACATGATTCAAATCAGGTGAACTGAGGTGAAAAACTGGGTATCGAGATTGTTTATAATACGCCCATTACTGTGCTTTGACTTGACCCATATATTGAAAAATGTCGGTTAATACGGGCACATTAATCACTGTGGTAAATAACTGATTAGACAGCTCTAATATTGACTTATATAAATGTGTTCATTTGGGGTAAGGGGCTGCGATGATCCAGATTCCAAGCGGAGAAATACTTCATATAATATGCCAGTATTTACAAATGTAAACTGTATTACTCTGCATCTGTAGGCTAGGCCCTCTGTATAAAGAACGGATACCACAGCTGAATTTGAAGACTGGTTTCTATGGATCAGCTCCCCCTTTTGTAAACTTCTGTTGTAACTCACCTTACTTAAAACACAGCTGCCTTTTCCAATCGCAATATTCTATCTGTGGATAACTACTGTTGAGCATATCTGTCGAGTATATAATGAAAAACTGGCTATTCTGGGCTGCATGCAATTGCTTTTCCTTAGGCCTGATGAGTGGGAAATTAGTAAAATAGCAACAGGCTCTGTTCTCAGTCTGACCTAGTTCTCATGCTAACAGATTCTAGGTGATAAAAATTGAATGTGGAATATTAAAACTGTTTATGTGGCTGCAAGATTCTCTCTCACATAAACACCTCCTATAAAAGTTTTGTTTGTTTCTTCCTCGAGAAACAAAACACACTCTCTCCAAGATCCAGAATTAAGAAAGAGGTACGATGCTCTCACTTGAAAAACAGAAGCCGCATCGCTCCCACCTCGCGCTGTCGCTTTGCACAGTTCACAGCACTCACACCAAACTCAGACTACCTCCATGTACTCGTACAACGCTAATTTGAAACTACTCTTCCTTGAAAAGACCACCACCTAGAATTCGGCTTTGGAAAACGCCACGTAAAAGAACAAACACTTCACTTGACATTTTGCGTTACGACTCGTGTGCGTGTGATCTCACAGGTGCTGTCTTAACGGATTTGAAGTCGGTAAGGTGTTTGGCTTTTCAAGAAATGCTTTTCAGATGTCAGAAACTGGCTCTGATTATCGGACCGGGCGAACGGCCGTCTTGTCGGGGCTGGAAACTCCCTTTACTGTAAGCCCTCCAGGGCCCCTGCCCTCCGGGCTGGACTGCTGGTGCACGGGTACCTTGCTTTAGCAGCCTGGACGGCCGCAGGGTCCCGCAGGCTCCGCTCCCAGGGCAGGCCCCCACACAGGCAGCGCAGCAGGCAGTAGCCGAGGGTCTCCAGGTCGCTCCGTCTGGACAGGGCTGGAGGAGGAAAAAGCACTGACAGAGAAACCCGAGGGACAAGCAAGTTCTGAGACCTAGGGAAATCGCCGAACGAACCCTGAAAAAGCCAAATGGGCAAGTGCGTTTTGTTTGTTCAGCTGGATGGAAACGTAAACGCCCAGGCTTTTGGCCACAGTCCACAGACAGGCAGTGACTTGTGGCTGCTGAAAGTAAGGGTCAGTTTCCTCACCTCCTCCAACTCCATCCTTCCTTCGTCTGGCCTGTCACATGGACTCGATCTCCATGGCCTCTGACATGATCCAGACAACCCATAACCTGGCACCAACACTTTCTCCAAGAGCCAAGCAGTAAAACAAAGAAATAAATGTCTGCGGCTAAATTGCTAACATATGTTCCAGGAAGTCCGTGGGGTCTGCACTGGTCATGCGGAGACCCTCTGAGTGCAGACTAAACATTGATGGCCTTTCCTGCTCCAGTCCCGCGAGGAGCATTGGAAGCTGGAAGAATATGACAAAACTGCCATCTAGTGTGCAGGGTGGAAACACAGGCCTGTGTGAAGATTCTGCAATTAAATACAAGTACAGGATGAAAAAACGCCTACTGTTTCAGGCACGCGGCTCTAAAATTTTACAAATATTTTTAGATATAAGCAGTGTGAAGCTAAAATTCTGGTCAAATAGCCTGAATAGAAAAATGCAACAGGGAGGCGATGGTGTGCAGAGGTGCTTGGACATAGATTTGGAAGCCACACAGAGGCTTTCAGAATTGAAAAGAGGATGGCTTTTCATCAAAAAACACAGAAGAACATTTTTAGGCCACTGTAGATATCATTTATACCAGACTATTAAATGCTGTAGACTAATTTTATCATAATTTTTGTGTTTTTTTTAAAGTGTCTTATTTGAAAAGACAGACAATGAAATCTGATGTAAGTCAAAATACAACCAATATTACTGAAATAACGATTACAGCGTTAACGAGATCCCACAAAATAAACTCATTTTTTTATAACCATTCCAAATTGTTATAAAACAATAGGCCAGTATTTACATTTCTGCCATTACTTGAATGTTCATCTGTGGAGGGATATAAAACCTCCTAAGTGCAATATGTGGCTGTTAAACCCGCTGTAAACAGGTATCCTATTTTATTATCTTTCATTAAATAAACTCTGAAAAGTCAGTCAGTAAACTTAGTTTTTAATTTAAAAAGTCACCTACAAAGAAGAATGCCGCGAGCACATCATAACTACTTTTGGTTACCATACGTACGTTATTATAAAAGCAGAAGACAAGATTAGCTGTTACACAGAGTCTGTCTTAACTGCTATTGGAGTATTGGATTATTAAAGGCCCTTCAATCCAGCAGAATGCTACAGTCCCATGGGCACCGTTTACTTTCTTCACAAGCTTCGACAATGTCCTAATGCAAGACTTGGCTCTCCTAGTAGAATAAAAACACAACCTCTGCCATGCTGTTTGGTACTGATTTCTTCAGTAATAAATCTCCCACTAATAATGGAATGGTTCCATTTGTACAGATGTGCGCACAAGTCCCTTTTCCATTATGGCAATACCTGATTACCACCACTTAAAAAAAATCACATCCTCTAATTTAAAAAAAAAAAAAAAATCATATTCTGACACCTGTTTGGACGACACAGGCTACACACAAGAGGTCCTTTGAGGAAAAATAATCAGAATTAAAATGGAATAAACCTTCCCAGTCACTTCCCCCCTCCTCCAACGGAGGGATGAATTGATTTGAAGCTCTAAGTAAAGACGAGTCATTTAGGTTTCTGAAGCCAATCTTTCATAAACTGGTCTTCATTTGAAATAGCCCCTTGAGAGTTGACTTTACTTGACTATTAGAGTTTGGTCTTACCTAATTAATATACATTATCACATTTATCAACCTTTATTTTCTTTTAGTGCTCATATACATTGATAACTATGGTTAGGTCAATGTTTTACTACTATTTCCACTAAAATATACGTAATGTTAGGGGAAAAAAAATCCTATAGTCACTCTTGCCCACCAGTAAAAAGACACCTCTCCCTCAAATTCCCTCCCAGAGAAACAAATTGCAAAGTTCTATGTGTTTTAATGAAGTTCAACCCCAAGACTCTACCAATGATTAAGTCTTCTTTCCATCTACTATACAGAGAAGAGTCATCTTAATACCTGTTAAATTAAAAATAAATATTCAAGATGGCAATATTAACATCTATGTTTATGTGTAATTAACACAATGAATTGATCATATATCTTTGACTTTAAAAATACATCATCAAGGGCGCCTGGGTGGCTCAGTTAGTTAAGCGACTGCCTTCGGCTCAAGTCATGATCCTGGAGTCCTGGGATCGAGTCCCGCGTCGGGCTCCCCTGCTCAGCGGGGAGTCTGCTTCTCCCTCTCCCACTCCCCCCCTTGTGCTCTCATTCTCTATCTCATTCTCTCTCTCAAATAAATAAATAAAATCTTTAAAAAAAAATAAAAAATAAAAAATAAAAAAAAAATAAATAAAAATACATCATCAAAATATAGATGATATGACAAAAGGATAATAATTATAGAAGCCAGGAACTGGATATTTGGATATGTATTATACTAGTCTATTATTTTTCCTGTGCATTTGAAAAAAATTAAATAAAATGCTGAAAATAAAAAAATAACAATTGATATTTGAAGAGAACTATTAATATCTAACTATAAAAATCTTTTTAATTTGAAAGTTGAAATATATTATGAACTGTTTTGCTTCTACAGAATTTGGTCTCTGTATAATTTATTATAATACATAAAGTTCTTCAGTTGAATTTGATAATTAATGTAATCATTAACAGTAGTATATTTTCATGTAGATTTCCTAAAAAGTCAAACTTTTACTTATGATGCTACTGTTTAAAAATGTGGCAAGATTTAGTTATTAATACTTTGCCTCTACATTCCCTTGTTAGTTTTAAAATATAATTTAGCATCTAGCATTTATTTAGCTTATTAATATGGAGCAATGCAAATGACTCTTCATTGAAAGCCTGTTGTGTTCTCAATTGTTTAACATTTTCTAAATTATAAAGTACTGTCAAGAGTAACAAGAGTTACAAAAAAAAAGGCATGGGTGGGAACTTGAATTCTACCTCATTAGAAAGCAGATTCCAGGAACAGTGGATACTAGAGTACTTAATTAAAATAAAAACAATTGATATGATTTATGGATCTGCTATTGTGCCAGACACTCTGCTTTTATATTCTCTCATTTAATCATTCTAACAATAATATAAAGTGCTATTTAAGCCTGTTGATAAACAAGAAAATAGAAGCTCAGAGAAGTTAAGCAACTTGTTTAGTATCACAAAGCAAAAACTGACAGAGCTCTGCATTGAAATGCAAATCTTTCAGAATCCAAAGCCCATACTCACTCTAACAACTACTTTGCCTCGCATTAGTTTTAACACCATTCAAACCACATTACATATTCTACTTCTGTAGTTAGGGGAGTATTTGAGGCAGGCATTTTAACTTAAAACACCAAAGACATACTGATGCAAAGATGGTTGTTTGGCGAGGAATAAACAAGCAGCAGGTCCTGAGGTCTAAGGTGCAGCACTAACGAAAGTTTCCATGCAGGGCGCCTGGGTGGCTCAGAGGGTTAGGTGTCCGCCTGTGGCTCAGGTCATGATCTCCAGGGCCTGGGTCTGAGCCCTGTGCTGGGCTCCCAGCTCAGCGGAGAGTCTGCTTCTCCCTCTGCTTGTGCTCTCTCTCTCAAATGAATAAATAAAATCTTTTAAAAAAAAGTTTCCATGCAACTATCCCTTTATGAGACGGTTTCTTTCAAACTATTTCATGGTGATGAAGAAGGGTGTCTAGTAAAAATATTACTTTATACAGTGTTTCGATGGTCCTTCCCAGCTGGTAGGAGAACAAGAGAAGCTAACTTAGAGAACTGGTTCTTATTCTAAAGACAAACTGGAGTAAAAATATCTGGGACCAACTCACCAAATGGAATGTAACAGGAACCGTGGGGAAAAGAAAGTATAAGTGTTAATCCCAAAATGGATCTGATTATTTGCCTGAAGTGCTTTCTGTTTAGTTTTATTTTTTTTATATAGAGTAACATGAAGTATGAAGAAAAACAGGATTTGGTAGGAAATAATACAGTGAACTTGAAAACTTCTGCCTTAAGCAGACAGGGGTGAAATGCCCAAAATACTAGTTTATATGCTCCGAAATGACCTAAGAAAGGAGAAAACATCTGAATAAGATGCTCACCTGAAGAACTGAATGGTGACTATCTGCAGATCAAATTTGGAGTTTATTCTTTCATTCCCAACTAGTAACCTATGCGATTGTATTTTGTCACTTTAGTTGTATAAAAAGCTGAAAAATTTCATGGTGGCCACGATTTATTGCAATATTGAAAAGGATATTAGGAAAGCAGAATGCAATATGTCACATTTCAAATAAAACATTAAACTCAGGTCTCTCTTATTTTTTAGTACTTTAAAATTTTAAACCTTAGTTGTTGTTTTTTTTTAATGAAACACTACTGTGTGAGGCTTAGGTAAAGTTATTCAACAGAGCAAAGATGTTTTTGTTTTGTTTTGTTTATTTTTATTTTTATTTTACCCATCCCTCCCCACCTCCCCTCTGGTAACCATCAGTTTGTTCTCTAGAGTTAAGAGTCTGTTTCTTGGTTTGCCTCCTTTTCTGGTTTTGTTTGTTTTTTCCCTTTGCTTATTTTGTTTCTTAAATTCCACAGAGGTATCTTACATTTGGCCAATGTGTATTATTAACCCAACCAAATAGTTCAAGACCTACATTAAGGCTTTAAAAGTCAGGGCTAAATGTCAAAATTGGGTGATGCCATATAGAATAAAGAGTGTCTTCATTATTTTTTATTTATACATCGACCAAAGACTATTTATAGCAGAAAATTTATCTAAAAATAGAAATCAAGGGTTTGCTTTTCTGACTACTAACAGGATCCAAGCTTACTACCTTAACATCATAATTGAAAAATGGGTTCCCTTTTTTGAATTATTGTTTGAGGAGATAAATATTGTGTAAACCATATGATTTCCTCAAGTTTGGTAACATGAAAATACACTCTCAGTTTATTTCACATACATTTTGTAAGTTGGAGTGCTAGATTAGAGTGAAAGGGAACTGTGCAAAAAATAACACAAGACTTGGATTTCATCTACCGTAGCAATTGGCAAAAATAAAAAAGTATATGTCTCTTTCCTTGATACTGAATATATTACACAAATGGACATTTAAAATGCAATTTGGATATCATATTTTATGGTCATCAATGATGTCAAATTAAAACAGGTATTATACACTCAATGCAGAGGTCTGAAGTATTTAAAAAAGCTCAATATGTTAAATGCAGTATATCTCTAGAGAAATTAGGTATTGACTGCATGCCTCAGTGAGTAGAAAAATCTACAAAAATCCATACCACACATTGATCCAAATATTGCTTTTTAACATTACTAAGAATGTAACAAATTTTAACATGGTATATTTGACACAGATATAATTCTCTTTAATTATCAGGCAACAAGCCCAAAATATGTCTATGTTTATACATGTTAGTTTTTATGAAGAAGAAAAAATTAAGAATAGAAGAGATAGATAAACCCAATGTATATTACTCTAATTTTACACTAAATGAAGCATTTCAGCCACTCAGAAAATACCTTTAGGTCATACAAGAGAATTGAGTTTGGAAGAATAACTGCAATTTTTAAAATACACACAGATCTCCATAGATGTATGGCAGCCCTGGGAATGTTCGTCCCCCTATCCAGCCATCTCTATGTATCTCAAGTCATATTTTTTGGTTTGTAATAATACAAGCTGCCTTCCTTTTACATACAGTTGAACTAGAAAATGCTTAGGTGAAACTGCTGGTTGGCACCTTATAAAAACTCCTTCATTAGAAAAACCCAGCTAATCCACAGAAAACTGAGAGTTAGCTCTGGTTTCTGAGTACCCACTACAACAAGTAAGAGACCAGACGGTCTGATCGGGTTAATGGTCTCTGTTAAGTGGCTAATTCATATGGCAGTTTTACCCTGAATCTTGGAAGATTTCCCTGGGCCTGACCAGCCACAGATACACCTGACATACAGCAAATGCATTGACAACTGGAGGTTCTATTTCCTAGAGATAACTTGTTTTGCTCTTTATGTTTTCCTTTGCATTATCTTTCTCAGTATTTATTTGATCTCATAGCTGGACTGGTAGAGAAAAGATTTTTGTGAGATTAAACTACACAGTGACTGTACTGAAAGTAAACACATGAATATTTATGAATCTGACCTACCACATTTAACTACAGGATTTATGGCCCTGTTTATTCTGGTTTCTAGATATGACTAAATGATTATTTCATTTCTAATAAATTCCTAAAGTAAAATGTTTTATTTTGGAAAATTAAATGCAAAATGTTAGGAATGAATGGTATTCAAACATTTGAGGATATCACCCTTTACTATATAGCAGACTGAAACTGCATATTAAAATTTCAGCAAATACACATTTACATGTATGTATTTATGTATGTATGTGTGTATATATGCATGTATATGTATGCACATATGCACATATGTATGTATGTGTATACAGTGGACCCCTGAACAACACAGATTTGAATTGCATGGGTCCACTTATATGCAGATTATTTTACAGTACAGTACTGTAAACGTATTTTCTCTTCCTTATGATTTTCTTAGTAACATTTTCTTTCTCTAGCTTACTTTATTGTAAGAATGTGGTACGGTATACATATAACATTAAAAAAATATGTGTTGGGTGCTTGGGTGGCTCAGTCAGTTAAGCATCTGCCTTCAGCTCAGGTCATGGTCCCAGGGTCCTGGGATCGAGCCCCGCATCGGGCTCCCTGCTCAGCGGGGAGTCTGTTTCTCCCTCAGCCTGCAGCTCCCCCTGCTTGTGCTCTGTCAAATGAATAAATAAAATCTCTAAAAAAATGTGTTAACTGACTATGTTATATGGTAAGGCTTCTGCTTATCAGTAGGCTATCAGTGGGTAAGTTTTGGGGGGAGTCAAAAGTTATACAGGGAGTTTTTTTGACTGCTCGGAGCATCAGCATCCCTAACCCTCATGTTGTTCAAGGGCTAACTGCATATGTATGTGTATCTACATAGATATCTATATCTACATACATGTCTATGTAGATATAGATACACCTAGAAGTTTAGTGTAAATTCTATTTTAAAGGCAGTAAGGGAATCTACTTTTTATAAGAATCCTGTGAAACCTAGATAAAAATGAATTATTCATTCCAGCATATAACTTTCTAGCAAATACCAAAAATATGTAATATAGGCACTTTCCTGAACACTCCTCCCAGGGAAGTCATATCATCTTTCTACCATCATTCTCAGTTCAGTCTTCTCCCCAGAGACCTACTAGCATGGTGAAATCTACCCAACTCATCAACATGTGTTATTATTTAGGGAGGAAAAAACTTAAATGGACTACAGGATAAAAAATTGTTTAAATCGTTCATGAAGACAGCACAATGAAAACACTGCCCTAAACAATGGAATGATTGTAGAGGACGTTCAGAATTACCATAGTCCAAACACTGACCAACTAACATGTAACAGCTCTATTTCCCATTCTGCAATCACAGTTGTTTCTTAGCACTTTTAATAGTCAAAATCAGATAGCATCCGTATGAGAGCTATCAGTTATAGAAATAAGTGGTCCCACCATAAGTTAATATCACTAACATAGTTGGACCAATGCTTAAGAATCTGTGTGATGAATTTCCAGTTACACCGCTATGAAAAAAGTACTTCTGGGTTTGTGCAAACTCTTCCATACTAATAAATCTGGCAAAAATGAGGAACAAAATTCATTCAGAGTGAAAGAACTTCAAGTTGAAAAAAATATATCAGTAGGCATTTGACTCTTATGTTTCTTAATTAAAGCCATGTCCCATTTATATCTTTAACTGCTCATTGACTCATTAACAATGTAAATGGTGAAAAATTACACAATATTACTATATTTCTTAGTGATCACTACTTTTCTAACTACCTTATTCTTGAAAAAAAAAATGTAGTGGTTTCTCTTAACTCTGATCAGGAATATAAAAGGTAATTTCCATTTCAGAAAATTTAACCTATGATTCTTCCCGGAAGGAAGGTGTACACTGACACACTTGTTTCTTTTCCCTGGCCTACCTTATGCTAGTGTGGGTTTTAATTGCTGTGGAAAATGATCAAGACCCCCTACATTACATGGTCAATGGTCCTTTTAATAGAAAAGGCAATAATATACAGTTGTTTGCACCAACTAAAACTCGCCAGAAAGTATCAGTTTAGGGTAACAGTTCAACAGCCATTAACAAGTGCAAATGTCTAATTGCCTTTTAGTGACATGGGGTCCTTTCAAAGCTGTTTCTAAATTATTTGCATGGTTTAGCATATTTGAAAATACTTTTATAAATAAAGTTTACAAAGAATATAATTTTGAAAGGCAAACTTTTTCAATAATCACCATTTTTTTTTTTACTAGCATAACATTAGAATTGACTTTTTGTCTTGCTGACAGAGCAACTAAGAAAGTACAGTTGCATTGACCATATTGATTGTGAACAAAGCAACCATCAGTGGGACTCTGCACCATATATTTTCAATATTGACCTCCTACTTCCTTTTCCATGGCTTTCTGGGTTGGCTATTGGATTTGGACTGCAGTGTAATAAACAGCTAAGGTTTAATTAATGGTAAATGAATACAAGACATAGGTTATGACTTTAACTAATTAGGGAATTGTTGAATTAAGTCTGCCTTGGAATGCAAGGCAGTACAATCAATATCCAATAAAAGGACTATGTATGTAATTTACCTGCAAATGTGTTTCCAATACCATCAAAGTGAGTTTAAATAAGTAAGATATATGAAAGGCGACTAGGAGAGATTTCCACAAGTTAACACTTTATGGTTTCAGAGAAGATTTCCCTATTGTTGAGAGATGGTATCTTCTAAAACTCTGATAAGGGCCTGGTGAAAAACAGGAATAATTCTTCCCATGTGCACCTTTACCAAATCTGTAATATTAGTGACAGAGCACAAATTCACTTGCTGACCTCCAAGTTTAACCTATACAAACTCGTGATTTCCTGCCCCAAATCAACATCAAGTTTTGCTTACTTAACACCCCGTTGTGCCCTTCTCACTTGTCACAATCTCTGTCTCCTCCCCCTTGTAGACGAAATATTCATTGGCATATAGGAATTCACTACTTTTGATAAAAACCTTGTCAATGTTCTTACTCTTCAAACTGACTATGCAAAGGTCATTACATGGGCCTTTTTACTCTTTAATCATTCTTCTGAAATAAAATTAAGAAAAAGAAAAAAAGAAACCGACCTACTCCCTTGTGGGCATCCAAGCTGGTAAACTCTATTGTCCCATTATGGCCTTTTCTAGGATTTTCCTGATACTGTTTGTGGTTCCCATTGGGACAATATCTGTAGCAAAGTCCATAATCTGCAAGATAAACCTGGAAGACATGAACAGAGAAATGAGTAATGCTTTTGTCCTCTGAAAATATAACCTTTATAATTAATTCTTAAGAAACTGAGAGGTTAAGAACAGCCTCAGATCTACATTTTATTAAACCAAATGGCACCTCAGGATAAAATATATACAACTGGGGGCCATTACAACTAACTTTCCAGCTTAAATCCTGACTTCATCCTGGGCATATCTTGTTTCTGAGTTGACTTAGATTTTAGTCCTTTTTATTTTACTCCTAAATTCCCTTCCCTCCAGGTAGGCATCTAGACATCATAAACTACAATAGGGTTTTGTTTTTTTTTAATCTGTATTCATAAGCTTATGAGGTCTGCCTTTTCTTGTAACCCCTCCCTTAAACATAAACGTGTTTCAAGCAGGAAGGGGAGAGGAGAGCAAACAATCTAAAAATATAAACCTAATGTTATAGGAAACTCCATTAACAGGAAGTATAAAAATAGTGAACAGACTATAAGAGGTAATGACTCTTAAAAAAAAAAACAAAACCCACCATGTTGCCTGTATTTAAGAATGGAACATCAATGCCGTACTTTTGGCCTTTCAGACCGATCCATATCATCACTGTTATCTTTGTAAGTCAGTCAGAATTGCAAGCACGGTCTCCAAACAGAATATAGATTGTTAGAAGTCAGATGGCAATTCAAGTGAATTTTTCTCAGATTACTTTTGGAGAGAGAAAGAAGGGGGAAGAAGTAGTTTTACAGATACAGCATGCCCTGAATAGGGAACTGATATGACTAGACATTCATCCTCATGTGTAGCCAGAATAGAGTAGTTCCCAACTACGTTACCATGCTCCTTCCAAAAAGAAAGCAGTTTAAATTTCTTAAATGTGTTGTTTCACATATATTTCCTTAAAATTGGGGGAGTGAGGCAACATTTCATGATACAGCTTCACGACAATAGAGTATTGCCTACAACTTGCGCTTTAAAATATAACAGAAAATTTATTATGATATTAATATTACAAGAAAATTTAGTATTAAATTCTAGTCTCTTTAAGTTTTTGGTTTTAGGATAGCCTAAGAAGGAGATAATTTGACCTTCAAAATATAAACAGCACAGAGTTTTCTTCATTTGATGGAGAATATAGCTTGCTAGAGTGTCTGGAAACATGATATTTCAGTTTTCTCTCTCTCGCCCACAGACACCATTTCTCAACATGGCCTCAGAAGTAACCGATCCCTCTGCCCTAAATAACTAGACTCCAGGATCAGATGTGTAACTGGTTGCTTGCTTTCACTATTTAGGATACACTTTATTTAGTTTAAGAACTAAATAGACTTCACTTTGCAAAGTAGATATCCTGAAAATGTACATACTGTTAATTCAGCAAAAGGAAACATTTTAAATATGCTAGAGTAATTCATTACTTAAAAAAAAAATGACCTATAGGCAAACCATAAGAGACTCTTAACTCTAGGGAACAAACTGAGGGTTGCTGGAGTGGAGGTAGCTGAGGGGATCGGGTAACTGGGTGATGGGCGTTAAGGAGGGCACTTAATGTAATGAGCACTGGGTCTTATAAGCAACTGATGAATCACTAAATTCTACCCCCAAAACTAATAATACTCTATATGTTAACTAAACTGAATTTAAATTAAAAAATTTAAAAAAAGACCTATCAAGAAGTTTTTCATGTAGTCATTAGTTAAAAAAAAAAAATCAGACCTAAAATTTATGGAGTGCCTAATATGCACCGGGCAGCATGCTAAGAGGTTTATATTCAGTGACCCTCACAGAAATCCTGTAGGTAGGTACCATTATCTCCATTTTACTCAAGCACAAACTGAAGCCTAGTGAGATTATGTGATTTGTGTAGTAAAATGGAACCAGAGTCTGAAACTGGAGTCTTCACTCTCAATCACTGTCAAAGGGAAATTGCACTGGACAAGTTACACAGACAAGGAAGACTTTATTCAAAGCTACTGAATAAGGGAGAGAGACTGTTGCAATTGGGTAAGAAGTTTGAACTCAACTCCGCTGAAATAAAACATGGGCAAGTTTTAAGTGCAGGGGGTGAGCTAGTGAAATAACTGGAGGAGGTTAAGGGAAGGTTGGTCAGTGTGACTAGGTTGTCCATGTTGTTAATTGGTGTGTAGACTCCAACCCTCCCTCAGAGTCAGGGGGATAAGGGCACAATCTTTCTTAATGACTACATTTTAAAGGGATGGCTCCCAGGTCCTTGAAAAAGACACTCCTGGGTTGCAAAACTGGCAAGAGGCTGGGAAAAGATTTACATCTCAAAGGCACAGAGAAAGAACTTACAATTTCAAGTTTTCTAAGGTAAATGCTCTAAAAAAAGGATAGGGGCCTATAATCCAGAAGAAAATGGTCTAAAGTTCAGTCAAGCTGAAGAGAAGAAGCTGATAATATAGTAAAGAAAACATATGCTAACCATTTGACTAAGAATACAGTAATTCATTTGAATAGTGCTGCAGTGGACATGTGGGTAAAGATATCTCTTTGAGATAATGATTTTATTTCCTTTAGATGTATACCCAGAAATGGATTGTTGGATCTTATGGTAGTTCTATTTTTAATTTCTTGAGGAACCTCCATATTGTTTTCCAGGGTGGCTGCACCAGTTTGCATTCCCACCAACAGTGCACCAGGGTTCCCTTTTCTCTACATCCTCACCACTTGTTATCTCATCTTTTTTGATAATAGCTTAACTGGTGTGAGTTGATACCATATTGTGGTTTTGATTTGCATTTCTCTGATGATTCAGAGATCTTTTGTGGTTCCAAACAATTTTTAGAATTGTTTTCCTATTTCTGTGAAAAAGGCCACTGGAAATTTGATAAGGATTAAATTGAGCCCACTGATTGCTCTGGATAATATGCACATTTTCACAATTTTAATTCTTCCAACTCATCAGCATGGAATTTTTTTCTATTTATCTGTTTCTTCTTCAGTTTTTTTCATCAGTGTTTTATGGTTTTCAGTACATAGGTCTTTCATGTTCTTGGTTAAATTTATTCCTAAATATTTTCTTTTTGATGCTATTATAAATGGGATTATTTTAATTTCTCTTTCCAATAGCTCATTGTTAGTGTATGGAAATGCAACTGATCTTTGTATACTGATTTTATATCCTGCAACTTTACTGAATTCATTTATTACTTCTAGTAGTTTTTTGGTGGAGTCTAGGGTTTTCTCTATATAATATCATGTCATCCACAGAGACAATTTTACTTCTTCCTTTCCAATGTGGATGACTATTTTTCTTGCCTAAATGCTCTGGGTAGGACTTCCAGTACTATATTTGTTCGGCACTATACTTGCTCTGTGGCCTAACATGTGATCTATTCTAGAGAATGTTCCATGTGTGCTTGAGAAGAATGTGTATTCTGCTGCAGTTGGACGGAATGACTTGTATATGTCTGTTAGTCCCACCTAGTCTAACATGTAGTTTAAGCCCAGTGTTTCCTCATTGATTTTCATCTGGATGATCTATCCATTGTTGAAAATGGGGTATTGGAGCCTCATATTATTGTATTGTTGTCTGTACGTGGAGACTTTATTATTATTATTTTTTAAAGATTTTACTTATTTATTTGACAGAGACACAGCGAGAAAGGGAACACAAGCAGGGGCAGAGGGAGAGGGAGAAGCAGGCTTCCTGCCAAGCAGGGAGCCCGATGCGGGGCTCGATCCCAGGACCCTGGGATCATGACCTGAGCCGAAGGCAGACGCTTAATGACTGAGCCACCCAGGCGCCCCTGTAGGTGGAGACTTTAATCTGTTAATATATGCTTTATATATTTGGTGCTCCAATACTGGGTGCATAATCATTGATCTTAATAGAGAGTTGTGGGCAGGATTCAAATAATCATGGAATGCTGTCAAACAAAGTGGTAGAACAAACAAATATCTATCCCCACCACCCAATATATAATCCCCGTTTTTTTTAGTTTGTTTTTTATCTACTAGTGCAGCATATGGTTTAAAATATTTATATTCTATGAGAATTGGCTAAATTCTCTACAATCCTTGTAAGTTTTACCACTAGCATCTATCAATATTATAGATCTTGATGCACTAATGAAGAAATTTAGGAGTGACTGCATTTGCTAAGTAGAGATTTTGGTATAAGCACAGTCAATAATTTGTCCCAAGTAATCAAAATGTCGATAAATTAATTTGATACAAATTAGGTCAAAGTGAGAGTTTCTATGAAGATATGGTAGTAGAAAAACACAGTCTAGAATTCTGGAAGAACAATTCAAAGAAAGAAAAAAAAAGACTGGGAAATATTGTCAAACAAGATAAGAAAGGAAGGAAAGGAAGAAAATTTGTTGAGGTTCTACTTAATGTGATAATCACTGGGCAAAGTACCTTTCACAAATTATGTCATTAAATCCAGGCAACCTCCCGGCCAGGTAGCATTGGTCTCATTTTACATATGAGGAAGCCAAGCACCCCAGTAATCAAGTAGCTTGTCCAAGTCAGCGCTAGTAAAGGATGGAAACAGGATTCAATCCCATGCCAATATAACATCAAAGTCCATTCTCTCTTTTTTTAAATATAGTATAGAATTTGGGGTTCTGTCCATTTCTGAAATTTTGTTGAAGTCAAAAATAAGTTTAAGCAGAACTTAATACACACTAAGGTTTGCAGTCTAGGTCCTATTTCTGTGTGCCCTTGAGCTAAGAATGATTTTTACATTTTTATAGGATTATAAAAAAAAAAAGAAAGAAGAAAAAAGAATATGCAGCAGAGACCCATATGTGGCCCACAGAGCTCATAAAAGCCTAAAATATTTACTGTCTGGCTCTTTGCAGAAAAAGTTTGCCAACCCCTAATCTAAAATAAAAGTTGCTTTCTAGTTAACTTTTTAAATATTCTCTCTCTTTTTTCTGTGAAATAAAAAATAACTAGTTAATATTTTTCATTTTAAGTATAAATATATATAATATCCCTAGTTTTAGACAAGCCTGTAGTGGGACAGTCCAAAGTACC